GTCATTATTATTCTCCTAGTCTATCGTTTTAATGATGTTGACTAGCTGCCTCTCTTCTAGTCTATCGTTTTAATGATGTTGACTAGCTGCCTCTCTTCTAGTCTATCCTTTCAAAGTTATGTGCGACTAAATTTAAAAAAAAAGAAAAAAATGATTTCATATTTTATTTATTGTAAATATATCTATCTTCTAAATATATAAGAATAGAACAACGTATAGTATTAACACTTTGCTACCTGGTGTTCCTGTAATAAACAGTAACATTGTAAAATTCTCTAAAATGTGATGCGACTGTGACATTTTTAGGTATTATACCCTCTCGGGAGTCTCTAATACAAATATAATTGTACCGTTGAACAACAAAAAAGGTCATTGCTATGGTATGGTAATTTACAATTTTTCATTACTTTGATTTATTTTACAAAATAGTATACTTGTTTATAACTTTTGCGTTCATTTTACTGTGAAAATGGCGAGTAGCTTGTTCTTGCGCGCGCGCTCGCGTGTGTGTAATCCACAAAACTTTTGCGCTCTGGGTATGACATCATTAAGTAAGTATAAAGCACTGTTCAGGTCAAAGTCCTGAAAGCAATTCGCATTAAATTCTATACAAACATGTATCAACTTGAAAGATGTAGATCTCCTTGTAAACAATACAAATAATCTTAAACTTGTTTACTGTCAAATATACAAAGTATAATATTTATTGTTGCAACGTGTATATCCGATAACAAACAAGTTTTTACATAATAGGGTTCTTCCTTTAATTAGTTAATATAAATAAGAGTCACCGCCATTTAACCCACTGTTCAGAAACAACCGGTTTCAAATGGTATGTTGATGTATCTATATAAATATAATAATACTGTCTGTGTTCTGTTGTATGTCTATGTAACTACTTCGCAGAGTGTGGATGAATCTTCACCAAAATTGGTATGGAGGTTCAATAGGTCCATGCGGGGATACATACAACTTTTCAGTTTTACTTCGCCCGCTGTAGGTGGATCTTCACCAGATTTTTATACCCTTAGCATGTTGATTACAATCGCTGAATTTAAATATGTTATAAATGACATCAGTAACCCGGGGCAATATTATCACGTGCATGAAAATAAACATATTTTAACTGTAAGTTCAATCATTAATCTTCAATAGAAATCCCTCTAAAATATCAGTTTTTACAGCAAAATATATCTCACGAAATTTATCCTTGCGCACAAGGATAATCTATTATTAATTTCACATTTTAAGATTAAGAGTCGAAATCAACCACATTTTTTTACTATTTTTAGTTTAGATAAGGTAAAACTGTTAAATTCAACAACTTTGTTTCATTATTTTCCTAGCATTTCCTATAGTAAAGACACTGTTTCATATTCTGTGTTTACGCTTTCAAAATACTTTGTAGAGTCAATAATGAAAAGTAGGTAATTTGTGTCATTTGTTTAACTTAGGCATTTCTTTGTCATTTTATGTATCTTATCATAATATTTTTGGAGTGCCAAAGAGGGTATATGTATTTAGGCTTTTTTCATGAATTAAAAACTGTACGAGATAGTTCATAAAATATTATTATTAAACATTCGACATACTACTGCAATATGTTTCATTAACCACAATGAGAAAATGTGTTTTGGTGTTGTGTGAACAGCCATAGGCAGAAATAAAACAATCCTTAATCACAATGAGAACATTGTTTGGTGTTGTGTGAACAGTCATAGGCACGAATGATTGTTTGTTTTTGAATTTCGCGCAAAGCTACACGAGGGCTATCTGTCCCTAATTTAGTAGTGTAAGACTAGAGGGAAGGCTAGCTAGTCATCACCACCCACCGCCAAACTCTTGGGCTACTCTTTTACCAACGAATAGGGATTGACCGTCACATAATAACGCCCCAACGGCTGGAAGGGCGAACATGTTTGGTGGGACGGGGTTTCGAACCCGCGACTCTCAGATTACGAGTCGAGTGCCTTAACCACCTGGCCATGCCGGGCCAGGCACGAATGAAACACCACAAGCGTTTTTAAATCAGTTTTTCAATTTGAAGGTTGTGCCAATTTTCAAAACTGAAGTAAGTAATTTTATTCCTTATAGGCTTTTCTACCTAGTAAACACTAAAACACCGACAGAAGCATTTTCTGTTATTCGTATTTTACATATAGCTTAATTTTAATCATGTTAACAACCTTAAAATTATATATAAACTTTTTTTTCTGGGAAATGTTTTTCTCAGCTTGCTGAATGTTTACGTATAATGTGAGCTGGATAGAGGTATCGAAGAACAAATCAGTTCAGACTTGAAACATTCTTTTATATAAAAATAAAACACGCTATGTTAAGAAAACGTAAAAAAAGTCAGTACGATTTTTTTTGTTGATTTACATTACATAAAAGAAACTCAACCCAATCTCATTAAAATATGCTTAACATACCCTATTAGTTTATTAATTTACTGCTTGTTAGATTCAGGTCTTCACTCGAGTCGACTTTATTTAGATGGCGTTAGATTGAACGCACCAGTTACTCATTTGTTTCCTTACATTACGCTATATTTAGGTTATTTGTTGTAAGTTCATTTAATTGCAATTATTTAATTAACCTTGTCACCGTTTCCTACTCACTTGCATCACGCCTAACAACCAGTAAAAGTATGATATTTAACTATTTATTCACTCTGCGTTAAATTTCAACTTCCAATTTATTGCGCTACTTGGCATCGCCGTCTGTGTACGTGTACCCACTTGCATACTCACAAAATGAAACCTGGAATATACAGTAGAGGATGGATTGACAAGTGAAGTGTATATCTAATTATTTTTTAAAGTTCAGTATAGAGTTTTATTGTATCATAATTTTAGTATCTTCTAAGAACTCGCACCTTAGGGAATTATGTTCATGATACTGCCAAGAACGTGTATTTTTTTTCTTTATATATATTTTTACATTACACTGAACTTAACAAAATCAAATACAACTTTTCTATTCAACTAACTTGTGCTTAGATTAGCCCACCTCATTCTTTTCTTGTTCTTTTTTATATGGTTAATATACAACATTAAAATCATAATTGAGTTTCTTTCAAAAGAAGAAGAAAATGATATATATTATAAGATTTGCATTCCAAATAATTGACTTAAAGTTGATTTGTGTAGCACTGTACAATAATTTTATTCTATTTTAATAAGTACTACTAATAAATTCTGTTTTTTTTTCGTTTTAATCGAGCAATATGGTTACGGCAGTACTTTAAAATAGTTTGACATTCTAATGATAGGAAGATTTTCATCCATCTACACGAGCGGATCACCCTTGGTGTTCTAAGTTTCCCTTAAAATCAACAGATAAGCTATAAGATAACAATGGCAAGAGTTTCATAACTCAAAATGGAAGCACTGAATATTATCACACAGACTGGTCATACATGGAGGCCACTGAATGATCAACAGAAAACTTCACGAAACGATCACAGGAGCTTCGGCAACATTTTTTAAAGTGTCGTGTCAATTAATGTTACTCAAATGAATTATTGACAAGAAAATAATCAAATTTAGGATGGTAAATATGATCGTTCACGATATCTTGAAGATGACCCTAAATGATGTTTCGAAAGTGGTATATATCGTAAAAGAATATTTAAAATTATGATAGCTTAATATAATTTCAAGTGATTTTTTATAACATTAAATTTTGTAACAGTATTATGAAATTTTCTGTCTTTTTTTGAAACACCGAGATTTCTTTCGTTTTACTGTAGTTAAAATTGTTTTTATGCATGTGTGGGACATGAACAAAAGGAAGGAACAAAAAAGAAAAAAATCGGAAAACTTAAGCAGTTGTATATTTGTCACATTTTTTTTTACTATTCATTGTTTAAGCATTGCTGTACAATGTTTTAACAAATGTTTAAATAACTCTATCCAATTATGCCCAGTGTCGGCTAACAATACGAAGAATTAAATTGTGGCGATATGCTACAAGTTTTTCAAATACCTATAGAATGATAGGTTTCTTTTTTGTGAGTGTAGAACACTTAAATACACCATTTCGATTAAATACATTTTTTTATGAGTCGTGTGTAGCTCCAAAAATGCAAGATCAGCGTTATATTTAATGATAGGTTGAATAATCCAATCCAAGTTCGTATTTGACTTTATTCCTCAAATCAAACAAAAGTATTTTTGGGACGTCTTAAAAATTATATAAAAAACTATCTTCGTAACTCACTGTTTTTTTTAACCAGATACTTGAACATTACAATTACCAGCGATTATTCTCTACTAGACACGTGTATGAACTTGAAATACTTAAAATTGTAAATCGAATCTCTTGAAAAGCAAATGGCTACGACACTAACACGTAGGGAAGAAAAAGTTGTCTTAGAATCATGTTTTAATTACTAGGAGGTAACGGGCAGATTTACACCACTACAGATTTCGAAACATGAATTTTCTGAATTAACGAACCAAAATACCAAAAGTTTAGTTGAAAACATGAGGCCCAGAAAAAAATAATGCTGTAATAAATTAAACTTTCCGTCCAGGTGGTGAGTGACTATGCTTTGACCTGTTTAACGATGCTTGAAACACAGACCAAGGTCCGACCAATTTGTAATATATAAAACCTGCAAGTGCAAGAAAATACAGTTAGTGGGTATGGAAGATACGCTAGTGAATAAATGTAAAACAAAGTCTGAACGAATAACACTTTTGGACAATGATTATATTGTGAATCAATTATACGTGACAGGAAAATTTAATAGTCTTCAAATTGTTATTCATTGTGAGTTCATATTAAATGAAATAGTTAACATTAAAGATATTGCATTTAAATACAGTTATCTTATAGAATACAAAATTATTCATTAGAGCTGATGAAAAGTAATAAAATAGCATTACTATGGCAGGTGGGCCATGAACGATACATTTTTCACTAATCTCTTGTAAAACGTTCATTTGTCAAACATAAGTTTATACTTAATTATAAATATAAATAACTACGTCGATTTCCTTTTTACGGTTTTGGACAAAATGTTTGCACACTGTTCTGTATTGATGTTATAGTCAACATGCAAGGAGTAGTTAATGAGTAAATGCCTGAGTAGTAACAGAGAAGGTAGCGTATGATCGGACGAGTTGTTATTCTGGTCTGTGTAAGTTGTTTTGAGGATTTGTTTATCAAACACACATGCACACCTGTTCTGTATATAAGGGTGTGCTTTTGGTATAATATTTTTCGAAACAGATCAATGCTTTGTTCAAACAATTTCTCTGAGATACTTGGTGTAGAGTCATGCCTCGTCACGCGCCAGAAACTGTAGTGCGTCCAATTGTTAGACTGTCCAGAAATGGTAAGAAGCATTGCCAGAACAGTGGAGAATCCCCAGTGTACTGTATCCAGTCGTCGGACTGCAGAAGACGTTGTTCCAGGAAAGTCTACTGGTAGACGCCGAAAAAACTACTACCCCGAGATGACCGTGTTTTGATCAGGTTAACACGTCAAGGTCGAAAGAAGTCTTGCAACAGGAATTGAATGAACACATTCATTCCAAGGTATCCAGAATAACAGTGAATAACAGACTCATCAAACAAGGTTATATTGCAAGAAGAGCTATCTACAAATATATATTAACCAAAATTCACCACCGTCACCGTATTACGTGGCAAGACAGTATGCCAACTTACAGTTAAGACTCTAGCGGCATATAATCTTTTCAGATGAGTCCTGTTTCTAGCTTGTTAAAGTTGATGGTAGGATTCGTCGTTTGCCTGGAAACACACAGAAAGTGGTGCAGTACATTTTTGGGCAGCTATTCATCATAGTGGAAAAACTGCTCTTCATATCTGCCAGGAAAACGTCAATGGCGCCTCCGACAGGCATCACATGGAGACGACATTTCTGTCATATGCTAGGGCAAGGTTTGGCAATAACTTTGTGTTCCAGGATGGCAATGCCGCTACCCAAAGTTCGCGTATGGTAAGGAATTATCTCGACTAGGAAGGCGTTAAAATATTGCCATGGCCAGCAAAGTCTTCATATTGTAATCCCATTGAGAACTGTTGGACAGAACTGAGTAGGAAAATTGCTAGTGACAAATTGGGATTAAATCACGCTGTGTTACATCAATAACCTCATTGACAGTATGCCATGTCGCCATGAGGAGATTATTGGAGTATGAGGAGGGCCAATCAAGTACTAAATGTTTAATATGAACTGATATAAGGTTACAGACGTTATTTATAATAATTTGGTGTTACATTTTGTCATTATATATGTTTTGTTGTGATAGGTGAAATGCTGAATCACACATCATTCTACAGGTGTTTAATAAAATTGTTTGTTCTTCTAATAAATCGTTCGTGATGTTCATAGAACCTGTCTTATTATACAAATTACAAATATAGATGTTTAATATAATATGTATTTCTCAATTTGACAGCGCTAAGTGTATTTCTATTCCATTTTAATAATAATGATCTTATTTGTCGCAAAATATGCAAGCATATGGGCCAAGACTGTATTTATGAAACGATAAAGCAACAAAGTATCCTCCATATTAAAATAAAAATGAGTCTTATAGGATTAATTTCGATATAATTTTGACCTGTATTAATATATATCCATAACACTTTGAGAGGCCGAAACATTGGTTGGCTAATATCCAGTCTTAGCATTCGATTCCATATTATAACCTTAGTCCAGAAATTATTGGTCAACAAATGCCTATCGTTTCAGAGCGGATAACGTACGCACTCCTGTATATTTATTTTTATATATAATTTATATTTATCCCCTTTAAGGAGTGTTATTTTGTTTTTATATCTAATGATGCTTTAGTTTTCTTACAACTGGCACAGCGGAATGTCTGCGAACTTAAAATGCTAGAAACCGAGTTTCAATACCCGTGGTGGGCAGAATACAGATATCCCATTGTGTAGCTTTATGCCTAACTTCAAACAAAACAAATCTTATAATAGCTCAAGAAATATTTATTAGAATTAAGAGTCAACCCTGAATAAGTAGTATAATAGGCAAAGATGAGCTCCACTGACTTGAAGACTGATCACAAGAAAGAACTTTGTAGCTAAATAACTAGTTTGTTTTTAAATTCATGATGAAATAACAAATGGACTGTACTAAAATTCAGTTTGAGGAGTATATGGGTTGAACACAGACATTCTTGAGTTGAAACTAGACATTCGCAGCTTGAGAAAGTAAACATTGTTCATTTACAAGACTAGTGTTGTATTGTACAGTAGGAAACTATTAGATACTTTATCGTAGCGATGAATTAGTATATGAACTCAAATAGGTACCCCAAAGAAACAGCCCATACAAATTAGAGAAAATTTTAAGTTGCGTAATGTATTATTTTTACAGACAATTATTCACTGTAATTATGTTTGATAAATCAGAAAATAGACGAAAAACTTTTTCCATTTGTGTTGTGAATTAATTTATTACATTAATGACCTATAGTATTCAGACAATTTTGGCGACGTAGAAATATTATCCTTAGGGGTTGTGAAAAAAAGAACGAATGACATTTATGACTCGCAGGCCCATGTGGAGAAAACACGTTTAGATAAAGAGTAATTTCACTGGAATGTTTATATATATATATTGCTTTTTATATAGCATAGAACAGTATTGGATAAAAAATAAAGTTTATAATTTCATACTAAGAAATAACCTTTTCATTTAGTAAACACACACAGAGTAAAAACAACTTTTAACCTTCTTGTACTGAGCTATGTATCACTGGAAGCAAAATGGTTTATTGATCGATGTTACAAACTGACATAAGGAGGACAGATTTCTACGGATTACCGTTTATGTTTATTTACTTTTCGTCAGTCATGACGTCATTTAGTGATGATGTAACTACCCCAACTCGCGTTACCATAGAAGACTCATTCTACTTTCAGAATCATGTCGTTAAGTTTAGGTTTAGATTTTGTGCAGGTCTTACGTGTCACCAAGCATTTCGTTTTCTACGAACTTCAAAACCCACTATGTGAAGTTAGTTTAAATGTTTAATGACTAATATGTTTATCTTCTATAAAGAATGTTGTTCCGGTTCACCAGTATGAATCTGTATTTTTCCAAAGATTATAAGTAAGATTGGTCTCAGACTTATCATATATAGTCCTCTCTCCCCCCTCCAGTGACCTGGTATGGCCAGGTGGTACGGCGCTCGAATCGCAATCTGAGGGTCGAATCCCCGTCACACCAAACCTGCTCTCCCTTCCAGCCGTGGGGGGCGTTATAATGTGACGATCAATCCCGCTATTTGCAGTGTAAGACTAGAGGGAAGGCAGCTAGTCATCACCACCCACCGCCAACTCTTGGGCTACTCTTTTACCAACGAATAGTGGGATTGACCGTCACATTATAACGCCCCCACGGCTGAAAGAGCGTGCATGTTTGGTGGGACGGGGAACCGAACACTTTATAAGTGGCATTGGTCATATGTTTGAATATGTATGTTATATTTGATGGACGTATTTTATTTTTACAGATCTACTTTGTCCAATTAATACAATTATAATTTTAAAAAAATCAAAATACGACACCAGGGACTTTTCAAGAACTAGCACTAGTATTAGCAGTTAACTTTTTATTATTTTTGATAAATTCCAAGTATATCAACTTTTCTTGGTTACTAATTCAAATATTTTTCGATATATGTTAATGTAATATACATATTCATAAATTGGTGAGAACGATACAAAATATCTAAAATAACAGATTTGTTTGAAGTTAAGCAAAGAGCTACACAGTGGGCTACATGTGCTCTGCCCACTACGGGTATCGAAACCCGTTTTCCAGCGTTGTAAGTCCGCAGACATGCCGCTGTGCCACTGGGGGGCAAAGTAAAAGAAGCAACAGGAGATTCAAAAAGTAATTATTTATCTTTCATTAGTTTATATAAATCTGTCAAGCATAGATAATACTACTAGCCTTTTCGGTAAGTCAGTGTTTAACATTACAAGTTAAACTTACAATCCTACTTAAGCTTGTATTTGTGATTTTATTCGCGGATTGGCCGTGTCGTAGAGATGCGGGTTTCGAAACTGGACAGGAGCTTGAAAAAAAAAAAAAAAAAAAATCTTTCTCCCATCATCTGTA